TAAACAAATGAATAAATTAATATCTCATCAACAGACCTCTCAAAGGACACTCTGTGAGGTACGTCTATCAATGTCGTCACTGTCCAGATGAAGAATGGAGGCACAGGCAAGGCTGTCATCAGAGCACGCAGCTGGTGCGACTGACAGAGCTTTGCCTCCTCCTGTTCACCCACTGCTCTGGGCCTGAGCTCTGAAAGATTTTCCTTCTGTTCCCTTCGTAGCCTTAAAGCCCAGTTCCATCTTCCCCCAAAATTCCTCATTTTAAGGATAAGGAAACGGAGGCCCAATATTGTCATTGGATTTTTGGTTCTTTCAGGGGACAAGGTGGTATTTAAGACTGGGCTTTCTGCTTCTCTAACAGTTAGAAACCTCTTTTTGCTGTGACCCATGGGTGTCAGAGATGTTTGTTTCCAACTTTCCCAAATCGACTGCCCCTGAATGCCCAGAGAGCAGATCAGGAGCCAGGTCAGCCTGGAGGTGTGGGTGCCAGGCATCCGTCATTCTCTGAGGGGGCAGCATCAGTGGACCTCCATCTTGTGTCTGAAGGCCACACCTCCCTGGGCCACATTTTCAAAGACTCTGTCCTCCCATTTCTGCCAGCTTCCACAAACACACTGTGGAAGCTTTGCCAGGGCCGTATCATACAACAACAGGACTTGGGCATTCTTTCTGGGCCTTTGCAATCAGCTTTAGGAAACATGCACAACCACATAGACATGGTGTGACAGATCCCTCACTTGGGGACAAAGAGAGCTGGAGTCTACACTTGTTTTTGAGCAAGTTGTTTGGTTCTTTGGGCTGCCACTTCCCAAGGTGTAAAATAGGAAAGGGGCTTCCTATCCCTTAAGGCACTTTCAGTCCAGCCTGGATGAAAAGTGAGAACAATTTCAAATAGACTCACAAACCTCTACTGGTGCGAAGCCGAAGCAGGAAGTCCACAAGGCAAGGTGCATGTTCACAAACGATGCCATGGAAGTTACCGGAGGACAGACAAGGAACTTTCTGGCGGAGGTGAGCTGTGAGCCCATGCTGTGAAGGAAGTGACAGAAACCAACTATGCAATATGTGACTGGCAGAAGCCTGCGTGAGCTAAGAGCTGAGGGGAGCTGGTGTGCGCCTGGTGCACACGACGAGGCAAAGGAGGGGGCTGAAGCCCCACAGGAAGCCCCGGCTTGTTGTTGGGTAACTTCTCCTCCTGTTTTCTGGGAACAAGCTATTTGGAGAAGCGGGGAGGGAGACCTTAAAGGCTTCCAGATGGGGGGCCCTCCTGCCCAGGCCTGCTGCTGCGCCGCCACAAAGTCTGTGCATGCTTTCTAAGAATCCCAGCAAATGTTACCAGGGAGGCTCTGGGGAGGTCTTCTGAGCCATTCCCCTGTTTCTGTGATCCGCACCATCCTCAAGCTAATAGGAGGCCATCTCCCACTCTGTATTATTAATATTGCTGTCATTATTTCTCAAAAAGCTGCGGGGGCAATGAATTCCATCTTTCTTTGTTGCCCTCTCCCTTTTGCTGAGATGCAGTCTCTCAGTGTTTTGGCACCTACTCTGCCCACTTCATTCGGGATGCTTTTCCCTAAAAATAGGTAGTGGAAGGAAAGGCCTTCCTCTCCCCAAACCAGGGCAGGACAACAAGAGAAAGTATAATGACCACAGGGTCTCTGCAGAAAAGGAAGGACTAGGAGATAGGTCTGGGGGACAAGATGAGCTGAAACTGGGGCTTCCCAGTGGGAAGGAGAGAAAGGAGGGGAGCCTGAAGCTTTGTGCACATGCCCAGGGCTTGCCCCTCTGGAGTCTGCCCTCAGTGCAGTCCTTCCACAGTGCCAGTACTCAGCCTCTCTTCACCACTGACCATCCTGGCTCCAGTCCTCTCCTGTCCATCCCCACCATCCCACTCCAGAAGCTGAGGTCATCCAGACATGCAGTTCCATTCTTGGGGAAGCTGTCCCAGCTAAGCCACAAGGACAGAGCCCAGGAAACAACAGAAAAGATCCAAAGCAGAGACTTGGATATAAAGATTCTGCTCACCAGGGTCCCTACCCTTCTCTGTCCTGTTGGAATTGGCATCGAAGGGGACTGGGGCACTAGAAGGGGACTTTGAGATAGGACTGCATCTGGAGCCAGACAAGAGACAGAACCAGCTATAGACCCCACACTGCAGACAGAAAAGGAAGCCCCGAGACCTGGCTACCACAGTGGTTGGTTCAGAAAGAACCCCAAGCCCCAGCCGTGGGTCTTCATAAGATTCCCCTGAAGCCTCTCCCTCATCAGGCTGTTGCAAGACAAGCTCTAATGAGAGGGCATTTCTCAGGAATCAGTCAGAAACACATACGGCACTCATCAGAGGGGTGAGAGGAGCTGCCATGCAAAGCTGGGGTTGTCATCTGGGGCAGAGCAGCTCTCTGTCCTGTCCAGCTTGGACCCAATTGGGAGCACTGGATTCCACCCACATCTCCACACTTGTGCTTAGACTAAAGAAGGCCTCAGGATTTGAAGAAGGCAAAGTTAACAGGGCTACCATGACCGCCCCCCCCCCCGTCTCCCTCAGATCACTGAAAGATCTAAGCTTGCACTCGAGGGTCTTCCCATGGACAGAAGCAGGAACCAAGGGAAGGGCTGGTGGACACTGACCCTTAGGGAGGGCCTGCCAAAGGGCTCAGCAAGTCCACCTCTAGTATAGTGACCGGTGCTCTTATGAGGGCTCTCAGAGGGCAAAGGGCTCTGCACAGAATAATCTGGTGAGCCTACATGCCTCCCCCCAGGTTCTGACCTTTCCACCAAGCCACCCATCTCCAGGACTGGGCTTGAACATGGCAGGTACTAGCTCAAAGCAAAAACCAAATATGACCCTGGTCTATGTGATCCTGGCTTTGGGCTCATCTGCTTTATGGGCCTCCCAGGTTAGCTCCATGGCACTTTCTGTCTGTCTCCCTCTCTTCCTTACAGAAGTCCTGGGTGACCCCACACAGCCACTCCTGCCCTCTAGGACTGACCTTGGATCCTCTCCTCCATTCTTCCTCCATGGACCCTTCCTGACAGGTGTCTTTGGGGATCTTGGCACCCTTTCCTCTTTGTCCCCAGCACCTTCCCCACACTGTCCTCTTTACAAGAGTCCCCTCCTTACAGCCACCTTGCCCTCTTGGTCCTGCCTATGTATCTTATCAAATTCTGACTCCTCTGCCTATTTCTAGCTAAATCAAAGCTGCTTCTAGCTAAGGCCTTCCAGCACTGTATGTGACTCAGCCTCTGCCTTCCCTTATGCCAGGGACAGGTCCCTAACTCTCCCCGGCCTTGGTTTACACTTTCCAACAGGAGTTGAGAAAACACAGACTCTGAGTCCCAGCCACACATACCAGATTCTGTGAGTTTCAAGACAAGCAATTTGAGGGGCAAATGTATGCAGATGGATATGCAAATGGGCATCTCCAGGATTTATGAGTGGCCTTAATTCCAAAGGGAGGAGGCAGTCTCAGCCTGGCCGGGCCCACTAAATCCTGGCCGGTGTCAGCGCCATAAAGCACCATGATGAAGGGCAGGCAGCCACTGAGGGAGGCTGCTGATTTACAGCTCCTGGAGCCTCCTCCCTGAAGCTGCACAGGCGAGTGCCATGGGACAGGGATGAGGGAGGATTTATGTTGCCAGCTTCCCCACCCCAGCAGCAGGCATTTGGGAGAGTGGCGGAAGGTGACTTTCAGAACCAGCACTACTCTGGTAAAGCAGCCCTTAGGAGGGCAGGGATGGGATCTTGCCCAAACCCTTAGCCAAGGTTCTCTCTTCCTGACTGCCATTCAACACTAACAGTTCCCGCTTCACCCTGCTGAGCATTTACACTGTCGCTGTCACCGTGCATATCGGCTTGATTCCTGAGTTTGCTGGAAAATTAAATTTGGGAAAGGAAATACGTCCTCAGCACCTCACTAGAGTGTCACAGAATGAGTCATCTGTCATTCACCCAGCATTTACCACAGCACAGAGCCCTAGAAGCTGATGTACAGAGGATGGAAAGCTCAGGGGCAAAATTCTCCACTGGGATGTTATCAGGGCTCCCCACTTTCTCTTTCTGAGTGTCACCTCTCAATAAGCAAAGTTGCCATTTCCTTTTCTCATAATTAAAGAAAGCCAGCCAAAAGTTCACTGGGTTAAGAAAGGCCCTCTTGAAGAGAGAAACACGTACAACATAGGCCTGGCTTGACTGAGTTGTTTGTCTGCTGAGTTGTGGCTCAGAACTGGAGTTGTCTTGCTTGACTGTTTTAGGGAGAGATGATGACTTCTAAAGAGATGTTCCTCTGACCTTTACCTTAGGGTGCTAAGAATTGGTCTCCAGGCCCATCGCATTTCCCAGGTATAAAACATGACCCCGGCCATATAGCATGAGGTCCCCAAATATGTGTCCTCTGTGCTTCTCTCCGGCTCCCCTCAAAGTCCCACTCCAGTTTCTATAAATGCTATTGTCTTGAATATATCTCTGTGATATGAAGTGACTTTCAAGAACCAGACTATTAATTTAAGCAGAATTCTCTAGAATTCAACAGAGATACCAAACATCATAGAAAGCTCTGGCGGCAAATATGATCCAGAGGTTGGTGTCTGTGGCCTCAAGGACACCAGGTGGCAGGTGGTGAAAGAGAAAAAAGTCACCACACTGAGAGGGCTGTGGGAAGAGAGGGGCAGGCACCATGTGATACGCACCTGTCTCTTGGTTTTTAACTATATTTGTTTGAAATGTTTTTGCTGAGCCTTTGTTATAGGCCAAACAGCATCATGGCAGATAATTGTGTACTTTGTGTGCTGCTCAATGTTCTTTGCCTAGAGGGCAACAGCTTCAAAATGCAGCATCTAGCATCCTGACCAGGGCTGCATGAGCCCAGAAAGAGGGGCCCCCGTGATGTAATTTATGTACACACTGTATAGCCTAACAGAAGCCCTGAGGTCGAGCGATGTGAAGCTATGTCCACTCCCTCACTTAATTCACCAAATTTGAATATTATGTTTCCATTTTGCAGGCAAGAAAACAGAGCCACGACAAGGTCCAGTTGCTTGTCCAAGGTCACTGTGTGGATAATGGAGGTATGATTCCCACGACACTGTTCAGTTCCCAAGCTAATCTCCTTCGTGGTTGTCTTGCTGTCACGTCATTGTCACTTCCAACTGCGTCTTTTTAATTTGCTGTTATAACAGACAGGACCTCCGCTGTAAAGCAAGAAGAGTAACAATACCAAGTGTTGGCAAATAGGCGGGACAATCTGTTCTCTCTTACATTGCCCAAGGGAATTTAAAATGGGACAACTACTTTGAAAAACTCTCTGAGTTCATTGAAAAGTTAAATGTATCCCTGCTATAGTTCTCAGTCATATCCAACAAAAAGTAAGATGATGTGTCTCTACAAGACTTGAACTTCACTGCGGGGGGAAGGAAGAGGATGACATGAAAAGGAAAGAGGCCTGGAGGAATGGCACCATCTCTGAACTTCCCTATTTCTGTTTCTCCTCAATGCTAATCCAAAATTCTCAGGGTCTCTATGCCAACATCGCAGGGGTCATCTGGAGGGAGCCACAGAGAGACTGGGTCATGCTTACAGTTCCTGGACTGAGGTTAGGTGAGAACAGAGATTAGAAGCCCATACAGTGGGTAACAGGCAGAGGGCTGAAGCATGGGGTCCCTGAAGGTGCCTGAAGCTTCAGCCTGTGAATGTGGGCTGCTCATGAAGTGTTAGGGATCTTCCAGATAGACAGAAGACCAGCCTGGATAGTTTTAGCCTGTGGATAGTTGGGAAGGGACCCTTTCAAAGGCTGCTGAATGGGGCCAGGCAAAGGCTTAATGCCCTCTCCAGGCAGGCCACACCCACTACTCCAACTTCAGCCTAGGCCCTGGTAATAGGAAAACGTATTAAGCCTTGAACCTTAGCTCCCAAGGAGCACAGAGAGCTGCTAGCAGTATCTATGGATGTCTGTGTAGCAGGCCAATGTAGTCAGAGCTCAAGCATCCCCAAGAAACTGCCTTTTCTACCTCCGCCCTGATCTCTGTTTTTATTTCTGCTTTCTTCTGAAATGGAAGCCTCAGGCCTCTATTCCAGACCACCCTACCCTGTAGGGTCCCGCTCTAGCTGCCTCCTAGGTTACATTTTGTTATATCTCTCCTTGGCTGCAACCCATATAGATAATTGGGCCACTGCAGTCAAAGGACAAAGACAGTGTCCCTTAGGCTATTTCCAAGCATCCTTAAAATGCCATTATCCCTAGAGAAAGACTCAGTGTGGGTGGATTTGGAGTAGAGAGGGCACTCTGACTCCCTATACCTAGCCCAATATTTTCTTTACCATCCAAGACATCAGATACCCCTCTGTCTTATACTTAAAATATGCTAAATGTTTCCCACGTCAGTGAAGAGTGTGTATATTCTATCGCCCACTATTTTAGAAGACCTGAATGAACACAGCTGTGAGCAGGGCCCGGGGAGCACCTGCTGGTCTGTTGTTTTACTGGGGAACACCAAGGAGCCCGATCTCTGCTGTGATATGAACTCTAGCCTGACCCCACCCACCCACCCCTACTTGCAGTTAATTTTTGTTTTGCTCTTCTATGACTTCAATGTCACTCACATTTTCCAGCCAGAAGATAACCCATTCTTGGCTTGGTATGAACCCCAAACTGCTCCCTAAAGTACGTCTATGGACCTTGGAATAATTCTGAGCAGAGAACTGATACATCAGTGGAATACTATAAGAGGAATAGAGCTCCACTAAGTCACAGTGGTTTTCCCTAGAGTGAAGTCGACTGCACAAATACTCAGAGACTGGAGTCCAAAGTCTTCTGAACTCTGATCATATTTATTGCGATTTTAAAGGCTCTTATGGTCATTTTATGATCTTATGATCCCAAAGCCCACTTCAGACTGACTTAAACAATAAAGGGAATATATCGACGTTCATGCCAAACTCAACAGATTGACCCAGCTGCCAGGAGGTCACCAGGGAGTCGGTTTCTTTCCATGTCTTTGCTTTATGCTGGGCTTCACAAGGGGACCCTTTAGCAGTGCCACACCAACCACCTGACATCACAGTATCTAAGCAAAAGAGAAATTCTGCAGCAGTGACACTCTCACATTCATTCTCTTGCTGGATTTTCACTTCATCAAATATTCAACAAACGTTTCCTTGAAATTCATCAGCTCTGGCTGGATCACACATTTGTCTACGAACCTATCACCGGGGCAGGAAGAATTGGCCAGACAAGGTCACGTACTCCCCTCTTAGCAGATAGGTCGCAAGAGGCATAAAGGGATCCATGACCAGGCATTCTGAGGACAGACACAAAGCTGAAGAACAACAGGTCCATAGCACATGTCTACTGCATTCATGTGTGTTCTCTAGTGCCTTAGTTCATTTTCTGTTACTATAACTGAGTGCTACAGATAACATAATTTATAAAGAAAAGAGATTTATTTTGTTCATGCGTCTGGAGATTGGGAAGTCCAAGACCATGACACTAGAATTTTGTAGGCTTCTGGTGAGTGTCTTCTTCTTGTACCGCAAAACTCAACATATGCACCAAAAAGAACTGCTTTTACAGCAAAAATCACTCCCACAATAACCCATTTAATCCTCTAATCTTTTCATGAAGGCAGCTTTGGCAATCCAGTTACCACCCAAAGTTCTAGCCTCTCAGTCTGTTTGCATATGACTTTGTGGATTACATTTCTAACACATGAATTCTAGGGGATACACCTATACCATAGCATTTGAGATTTGCTTCAAACTAAGTGACAAGTCACATTGGGAAGGTCAGCTCTGTTATTTATCCCGCACCTCCTAAGGCTGTAAAGAGAGAGTGTCTGCTCTTTAAGTTAAAATTTTCATCCCTATATTACTTATATGGGGCAATCTTAAGAGAGAGGGAAGAGATGGGAAGACTCTATACATTATAGTCTTATCATCGTCTCTCTTTGGGATATGGGAAAATTGCAGGATTGAAAGTCCTTCCTTCCAAGCACTAACTAGACATAGCCAAGGAAAAGACTACATATAAAATGAGAGGCTGATCCTGAATCCAGTCTTGCTTGACAACGGCCACCAGTGAGGTGGCTCTGAGAAGCTGAGGTGCCTCCGATAGTCCCACAGTCTATGGGTATCTGGAAAGAAACAAGGCTGGGACAGTGCACACCTGTTAAAGCCAGAACAAGGACACTGCCTCTCCTTAAAAGAAGAGCCCACAGCACTACCCTCTGGCACTTGCAGGTGGGTGGGGAAGTCTGGAAGGGTCCTGGGCCTCCAGCTCCACAAATGATCCTGTTTTAATGTAAATGATGATTACCAAGAGTACAGCATGTTTTCCTGTGTCAGCAGCTCAGTGACTAATGCCCCAAGATAAATGGCTTTGTTTTGCCAATTTAGAGGAATTCTATAACCCTTTCCTCCTTTCTACAGAATGGACTCTTCAGAACCTTCTCAATTACAGCCTGGCACTCAGGACATCACCTTGGGTACAGGGCCACCCACATGGACTGTGACCACTGTGTGTACAATGAAAGTCTGGCGCCCATCAGACTCTGGTGGCCAAATCCCTGAGGCAGGGACTATTGAAGACCAGGGCTGAGTGCATCTGAAACAAATCTGCCATCAGTTCTCAGCAAATAGCTATAGGGCAACTTAGAGCAAGCTCTGCGTCCTCTAGCCTAGCAGGACTGGGAATGAGGAAGTTTTAAAGGGTTCAGGACTGTTAGGGAGGGATTGGGGCTTGTTGGAAAAGGAGAGAAGAATGAGGAAGTGAGATCAGGGAAAGGTTACACTGCCATCTTAGGCAATGAGGCTCTTTCTAAACCAGCTTTTTTGCCAAGGAAGACAAGGAGCTCAAACAAAAGCATGGGCTGTGAACCCAGACCCACACAGCTGAGAAACATGGCACTATCACACACCACCCGTTTTCAGATAGATGTGATTGCCCCCATTTTACAGATGAGGACACTGAAGATTAAAGCAGCTGAACAATTTGCCCACAGTCACATATTTAAGTCATGGCAGAATGCAAACTGAAACTGGGCAATCTAGCTCCAGAGTCAGTAAGTGTTAATGAGAGATTCAGTCTCCCCAAGAGTCTCTTGACTTCTGGCCATCCATCTGAAACCCCAGCCTTTACGGAAATGAGTCCTTTGGGTTTCTCCTTCTGTCCTCTACTTCTTGAACACACAACCTGGTCCATGTGATGTGTGTCACCTCCAGGTTGGGACATTTTACTATCAGCATGAAGTCCTTCAGAGTCCTCCACCACAGTGATCAGTAACGTTCCAAAGAGGCTGCTCCATCAGCCCAGATCCCATATCTGGATGATGCCAAACAGGCATCCACCAAACCCCAAGAGACATGAAACATGGCTAAGATATAAATATGCATTGTTTTAAGTCACTGAACTTTATTACTGCAACATAATTTATCCCATCCTGACTGATCATCTTTCCTTTATGGAAGGAGGAAGCAGGTGGGTTCTTCTAGTATTGCTAAGAATGCCCAACACAGGGAAATGATTGGGGCATTTTTATCCATCACATCATAATGTTTCAAAGAAGCCAAGCCAACTCGGGCAACAAGGATTCCTGGGCCATCCATACCTGGCCACAGAGAGCTGGCAGCCTGCAGGAAGAGAAGGTCCTGTCTCACTTACTCCACATCCAGGCTGGGGCCTCATGCAGGAGTCACAGCCTGTGGTTACAAGGTGTTGTGTTACCCTATGCTGAGACCAATCTGAGGCACCAGTGCCCAGATGGCCAGGTAGAGGCTCCCTTTGCCAGGCAGATTCTGTATATAATGTATGCCATTCTCAGTGAATAAGAGCCCTTGGGGACACAAATTGTTACATGAGGCCTTGGGCTGTAGAATGTAAGTGGATCTGAGCTTTGTGGGGGAAATACGGGCAACAGCCTTCCTTTTCGATTATCGTCTCCCTCCTCCTAACATTTACTCCGCCCCATGGCAGATTTCTACAGACAGCTACAAAGAAAGTGGTTAGGCTATAAAACAGCCTTTTCTGGGTACGCTGGTGTGAAGACTGGATTGGAACTGGGAGAGGGTCTAGAAACTGGTTCTCAGAGTGAACACCCTTGAGAAGGGGTTTAGATATACAGACTTTCCCTTTGTTTTTTTTTTTTTTTTTTTTTTTTTTTGTCTTTTTCATTTTTATCGGTACCAGGGATCGAACTCACGACCGCCTGCTTGCAAGGCAGGTGCTTATGCCGCTGAGCTAAACCCCCAGCC